GAAAAAACTGCTCTGTAACACCAACTCCATGTTATCACTGAGGAAATTTGTTTTTCCTGTTGCATTTCTGGCTCACGGAAGAATGAATCAGAAAATGTTGAGGGCTGTAGTTATAGGTGCGGGTGATGCTTTTAATCTTGCTTGTTTTCCTTCCAGAAAGACATTGACTCTCTTGTCCTCATTTTCCTCATCTTTTTTGTCTTGTATATATATTTGAAAATGGTAAAAATGTAAGTGTATATTTTTTGGCACTTTGCTTATACTTAAAACTATAATGCTGATACAAATGTAATCTTTTAAGCATCTTTATGGGGTTAGTGACGGGGAAAGAACATAAATGTTCACAAATTCAGCCACAGCTCAACATTCACTGGTGCCTCATTGTGACAGGCAACAGGGCAGGGTGGGCAGAGAGATTTAGGCACTGCTATTCAGTGAGTTGTGTCTCCTAAAATTCCTATGTGGAAGCCCTAATCCTCAGTACCTCAGAATGTAACCATATTTGGAAATAGGGCCTTTAAAGAGATAACCAAGTTAAAATGAGGCCATGAGTGGCCTGAAACCAATATAACTGCTGTTCTCATAAGAAGAGGAAATTAAGACACAGAAACACACAGAGGGTTACTATGTGAGGATATAGGCAAAAGCCATCTGCATGTCAAGGAGAGGCATCAGAAGAAACCAACTCTGCCAACACGTGGATCTTGGATTTCCAACCTCCCGAACTGTGAGGAAGGAAACCGCTATTGTTTAAGGCACCCAGTCTGTTGTTCTTTTTTTATGACTCCCTTAACAAATACGGGCACTCTCCTGGCCCTGAAGAGCTTGAGATCTAATAGGAGAAGAGAGATGGAAACAGATAAGTAGTATGGCAAAAAAAAAAGGTATGGTAAGTTAATTATGAATATTATCAACTCAGTGGAATTTCATGCAGTGATTAAAATGGAAATTATAGAGAGTATGTAGCAACTTGGGAAATGTTTATGAAAACTATCCAGTGAAAAGGAAAAACATGACAATATATCTATTCTAGGTTAACCACGAGGTCTGACAATGAAGTTCTGGAACTGATCCTAGAAAAAGTGCTATATACCTCATTGCTTAACATTACTACTATAGCCACCTTTGAAATACTCCCGCTGGCCAGCCAGGGACCATAGTGGTATTCAGCAATGAGTTATGTAGCACTTTTCCTAGGGTGAGTTCACGAACTTCATTGTCAGACCTCTCGCTGCAACAGCTCTGGTGCCATTCTAGAAGACTTCCATAATTGCTCTGAAGGGTGGACTAGGCACTAAGCATAAGCACTTAAGGAAAATAGCATATTTGAGTCTGTATTCAAAGAGCAGTGATGTAAAATGAGGTTCTAGTTCCCTGCCCAGTTGTGAGCCTTAAAACCGGGCTCCCTTAATGAAATATCCAAGAAGAATTTGCCAAAGTTTAAAGTGAAGATGAGCTAAACGAGCAGAAGACGTGGCTCTCCATTCATCTGAGGCAGTGGACTGGCCAGCGCCTGGGCAGCTTGCATTCAGGGTTCAGGGACTTGGCCAGTCAGTGCCCTCGCAGCAAAAAGGCAAACGTGCCGTGAATAGAGCCCGAATGCCCAGCCTGGAAACAGAACAGGTGTTTTGATAGCAGACTTCCACACAAAGACAGCCGCTTTCTGGCCACAATGGAGCAAAACATGAAACGTCTCTCAGCGACTCTTCTGCGCGGGGTAAGGCATGGCATACAAAAGTTAACAAGGCAAAAACAGCTGCTCTGAAGCTGCACTGGGTGTTAATCAAGCCATCTCCCCAATAGCAGGAAAGCTTATATCAAAGTCCTTAATCTGCCCCCAAGGCCCTGTTTTAACCTTGATTTAACAATTCCCATTGATAGCAATCTGTTATCCTCATTCCACACAAGGCCCCAAGCTTGGGGTTCTGCTGCGCATACCAGCTTGCCTTTGGTAGCCCCTCAAGGAGAAAAGCTCCCCAGGAAGGAGAAGGAGCTTTATTTTTATACCAGTTAAAGTCCCTATCCAATCCATTAATGCTGCAATAACCTTGGTCCAGGGCATTTCCTGTAGAAGCTATAACCAGCTGGGGTTAATGAACTCTCCCTACCATTAATTCCTGGGAGAGGCCATTGGCCTGAATTGTTACTTAATTACTCTTCTGTGTACAGCTTCATAAAGCAATGAAATGCCTTCTTTCAGGAAGAAGGGAGATGGTAATGGGGTCATCAGAGGCCATTAATTTTACAAATAGTTTGTTAGAAACTACAGTATGTTAAGAAGTCACTCTGGCCCACAAATCAACTCAATGTGGTCCTTATTAAGTAGAAGTCCGAAACTTCACAGGTTTCTGTGACTTGCACACACAAAAAGTTACAAATTATGCACAATCTGGTCAACACATACACTCAGGTATGCAAAAACGCATGGTATATTCTTTACAGTGTGTAACAAGTTCCCTTCATCTCCAGCCCCTGTTCCTCAAGTTGGAAAAAAAGACTTCATGGAGCTAGTTGGAAATATCATAGACATTTCCAATTTTAAAATCTCTTTGGGGCCAACAACTCCTCAGTCTTTGTAAGGAGAGTCTTCCTCTCCAGAGCTCTCCTCTTCCCCATGATGGTGGCAGGCACAAGGCAAAGCTATGTATCTGTGAACCCTGGCAGGAAAAGCTCTGGGTCTTAATGCTTGCTCTTGGTGCTCCAGATCTGTGGGACTCTGTGTCCACCCCAGCACAACCCAAGGTCTTCTCTTGTCCACCCAGCTCCTTACCACAACTACACCCCACTTCCAGGTGGGAGAATGATCATCCATTTTCTCTCCACCACCCAATTTAAAACTATAACCTTCTCCCTACACATACATACATACATACATACACACACACACACACACTATATTTGCTCTAACCCCCATCATCTGTTTATGCTTTTTCTGTCAAACTAAAATAACCAAAAGGATCAGAATCTAATTTAAAGAGAGTTTATTCAAGCACAAAGTTTACGTACAGCCATCCAGGACACACAGATTCCAAAGAATGGATGCCAGTGTTCTGAAGTGTAGAAGTTTAGGATTGCTTATATAGACAAAGTGTAGGGAACTTAATAGAATTTCAACACATTTCCATTATACATAAGACCTATTATATCAATGACCTCTAGTTACAAAAATCTGATCAGTTAAAAAGTTCTTTGTCTTTCAGGAAAGGCATACTGACAATTGCACGTTTAAATGTAACTAACAGTCATGGGGTCTTTTGCACCATCTGGTCTGAGTTAGGTATAAGACAATAAAGGAGGCAGTTAGACAATCACAATAATCAGTGATTGGAAGAGGAGAGGTCTGGGCGTATGGGGAGGTCTGGTTTGTGGTCTCTCCTAGTCATTTACAGAACAAGAACAATGAGAAGGAGAGTTTAGTGGCTGGTTGCTGTGGCTCATGCCCATAATCCTAGCACTCTGGGAGGACAAGGTGAGAGGATTGCTTGAGCACAGGAGTTCAAGACCAGCCTGAGAAAGAGCAAGACTCCATCTTTATCAAAAATAGAAAAATTAGCCTGGCATCATGGCAGGCACCTGTAGCCCCAGCTACTCAGGAGGCTGAGGCAGGAGGATTGCTCAAGCCCAAGAGTTTGAGGTTGCTGTGAGCTAATATGTCAACCCAGGGTGACAGAGTAAGACGATGCCTAAAAAAAAAAAGAGAGAGAGAGCGAGAGTTCACCTATATTCCAAGAAGCAAAATTACAAACACTCTACCAATTCAGTCTTTAGGGTTTAATTTCCCCTTCAGCATAACAAATTTAGAGGGCACTGAAATTTTTTTTATACTTTGTAATATTCTCTTATCATGCCAAATAAAATAAATTTACATATTTATTTTATTGACTGTATTATCTCCCAATACACATTGCACACTCACATCTTAGAGTATAAACTCCAGGAAGGTGAGTGCTTTTGGCTGTTTTGTTCACTCTTTCTCTCTGGTGTTTAGAACAGGGCCTGGAAGACATAGGTGCTCTTTCCATGTTTCTGCATTTGCTGAATGGATGCGTAGTTAGGTGGCTACGGGATGGGATCAGACTGCTGGCCACAAAACTGGGAGTTTCCATTTTTGTCACCCTTGGGCAAGAAAGCAGCCTTATTGTACACAGAAATAAAGAAATAGGTTCTGCCCCTTCAAACTGCCCAGAAATAAGATCCATTTACCTACTGATGATCAAAGCAGACTCACACATGAAACCCACACCCCCATCTAGACCCTGAACTCTACACAAAGGACAAGCAACTGTTGCCACCCACCCCACTGTGACATGCTGCCCCACCCATCCTGTGTCAATAGTGCAATCATGACCTCTCGGAAGGTTCTGAGATTCTATTGGATCATTCCAGTAAGGAAAGATTAGACTCTTCAGAAGCTAATTGACTAGGGCAGCGCACATCGGAAGAAAGGTAGAGTTTGTAGAAGAAATGGAGAAAAAGAAGAAATGAAGAGGAAGAGAGAGCCAAATAATTTACTTACACTTGGGTTTCTGAGCCCTCTTTGATACTAAAGATCTTAATAACTGGAAATTCTTGCAGAGGCCAGACTACAGTGCAGAGATTACCTTTCAAGGCAGTTAGGAACCTACATCCCTGCCCATGGGGCCTTAGGGAAAACAACTGGGCCTAGAACAAAAACAGACTTAAGATCAATGACCTCTATTTCTTCATATTGTCTTAGATAAATTTCCAAAGGGTCTTGTGTTGGTAAACCATCTCTGAATACATCCACTAGCAGGGCATATATTGCACTTTCTAGCATTATCTTTGTATCCTAACTGTGTACTAAGGCATCATCACATTATGACCAGAAGAATCAGACGACAGGGTTTGGTCATGGCTAAAATGTGGGGACTGGAGGGAGGAAACCAGTTAACTTTTGGGGGGACTCTTGGTTAGTTACTCTATGCTTCATTTCCCCAATTCATTAAACGAGCCTCTGCTGGCATTTTAGGGAGCCTACAATGGAAGATCACAAGGAAGATCAGCTAGATTATGAGTAAGTAGTCATGATTATGCAAAGCCACAGCAG